GCAAAAACTTGTGTATCAAACACAACAAAAAGGTGGAAAGGAAAAACACTTTCCATTTTCTAGGGAAAAGGGTGTGTATCAAACACACCCTAAGTGAAATGTGTAAGAAAGATGATTTAGAAAAGTTGGAATGAAAAATCACGTCCCTTTCTATCAAAATGGAGTTTTGCTTATGCTGTGTGCATTTTATCTTGCGTGTTTCTCTTTAATTCAATGATCAATCTATGGAGTACGAGTACGAGTACTCGTCTTTCTTGATTTTAATCTATTTAGGGCCTCTCGGGAATTTGGACGAACTGGTTATGAGCGTTTTTTGAAATATTGATTTTGATATTTTATGAGAATCAGTTTTGAGTGATTTTTGTAACGATTTTTAAAATTGTCCAACCAATGTTTGAGAGTTTATTTTCCCTATAGTAAAATTTTCACTATATAGTTTCTTATACTCAATTTTTTCTGCTAATAAGTGACGCTTTACTTATATTTTATAAGTGAATTTTGTTTTATTATTAGTATTTTTATCTTATAAATAATTTGTTACATAAAAGTGATTTTTTATTTATAAGTAATTTTTTTAATTGTGATCTAATATTTCTTATCTTATAAGTAATTTTTTACTTATAAGTATTTTTAATTATATGTAATTTTTTTGCCTATTAATAGTTTTTTAATTACTGTAAAATTTATTTACAAGTTAAATTTGAAGAAAATCGGTCAGTTAGAAATAATTATTATATAAAAGGTAAAATTATAAGAGAATATGAAAAACAGTCAAAACTTGTTGATTTGGTGGATTGAGAAAATGGGTCAAAATCACATTACATGGATTTTGGGTAATTTTTAAACCATTCAAAATCGGAGCCTAAAAAAACTAGTAAGCACTAAGCACCGTTTTTTCCAATCCCTAATAAATGGAGCCAAAAAAAAATCAATCAAAATCGGTGGGAAAAAAAAAAAGTCTAGCAAGCAAGCTATTCAAGCATGTCAAATATGTTTTAAAGTGTATCGAAACTTTATGATAGTGCCATGAAGATTTTACTTTTTTGTATTAGAAATTTATGAATATAAATAATTTTTATTTTTATTTTTAATTTATTCAACAAGTTAATATTGCCTTCTATCAGTGCCTATCCAGATTGATTTATAGTAGAGGGGGTGATTGTGCAAATACTAAAAGTTCTTAGTAATATCAAATTATAAATTAGTCGCATACAAAAGATATAATTCAAACTTTAAAACTTAAATTTGATTATAAATCGGAAATTATATCAGATAGTGCTTGAGTAGTATGAAAAATATCTCTTATTCCCCCCAAGAAAATGTATTCCTTAAAAATAAGGAAAATTAGACATATCTTCAAAAGTTAGTAAACAGGAAAGGACGGCAAACAGAGTCCTATTACAAAAAATGCGAGTTGAGACAAATCCCCAATCTTTTCATTTCCCCTGCAAAGATGAACCCTGGTCCACTACCTGTTTGCATTCCATTCTACTCCTCCAATTAAGTAATAAATATACAATATTAGTGATTTTACATATTTTCTGTGGAGTTTTCTGAGATTTATGCTTGAATTCATATGGAATGATAGGTGTTTTAGCCAAGTTTAATCCATTTTACCATGATACTTGTGGCTTTGAAGTTCTTTGCTCAAGTTGATTAGTTTGTGTTGTTTCAAGATCACCACTTGATACAAGAGTTTATCCCATAATATGATGACCATGTAATCTGCCCAACATCTAAAAATTAAAGAAAAAATCGTGCTTTCATTTTTTGCTTTTGTTACCTAATAAACAACTCTCATTATTAATTAGAATTATTCTTGGTGTACAGGGGTTCTCACATAACTCCCCCAGAACACTCACAAAGGGTGGGTCCCACGCAGCCGTGAGTGTTTTGGGGGTTCCGTGAGAACTCATGTACACCAAGAAGAATTCTATTAAGCCCCTGTTTGTCTCCCATTATGGGAGAAAGAATGGTGTAATGAATAGTATTTTTTGGAGAATGTGTGGTTGAAATTGAAAGAAACTTTATCAGTTTATGTGTAGAATATTTTATTATTTGAATGTGTGGTGGAGATTGATTACTGTAGAAAACAATGTTTTGAAAAATGGTAGACAAACAGGGGCTAATTATGTCCATTTAATTAAAGTAATTCTTCTGCCATTAACAAAAGTTCATGTGGTTTCATATATTTTGTATATTCAAATGTAGGAATAGCAGCAACTAGTGGGTATTGTGTGCTTGCATTTTTCATTTNAAAAAAAAAAAGGCCTAGCAAGCAAGCTATTCGAGCATGTCAAATATGTTTTAAAATGTATCGAAACTTTATGATAGTGCCATGAAGATTTTACTTTTTTGTATTAGAAATTTATGAATATAAATAATTTTTATTTTTATTTTTAATTTATTCAACAAGTTAATATTGCCTTCTATCAGTGCCTATCCAGATTGATTTATAGTAGAGGGGGTGATTGTGCAAATACTAAAAGTTCTTAGTAATATCAGATTATAAATTAGTCGAATACAAAAGATATAATTCAAACTTCAAAACTTAAATTTGATTATAAATCGGAAATTATATCGGATTGTGCTTGATTAGTATGAAAAATATCTCTTATTCCCCCAAGAAAATGTATTCTTTAAAAATAAGAAAAATTAGACATATCTTCAAAAGTTAGTAAGCGGAAAGGACGGCAAACAGAGTCCTTTTACAAAAAATGCGAGTTGAGACAAATCCCCAATCTTTTCATTTCCCCTGCAAAGATGAACCCTGGTCCACTACCTGTTTGCATTCCATTCTACTCCTCCAATTAAGTAATAAATATACAATATTAGTGATTTTACATATTTTCTGTGGAGTTTTCTGAGATTTATGCTTGAATTCATATGGAATGATAGGTGTTTTAGCCAAGTTTAATCCATTTTACCATGATACTTGTGGCTTTGAAGTTCCTTGCTCAAGTTGATTAGTTTGTGTTGTTTCAAGATCACCACTTGATACAAGTGTTTATCCCATAATATGATGACCATGTAATCTGCCCAACATCTAAAAATAAAAATAAAAAATCCTGCTTTCATTTTTTGCTTTTGTTACCTAATAAACAACTCTCATTATTAATTAGAATTATTCTTGGTGTACATGGCGTTCTCACATAACTCCCCCAGAACACTCACAAAGGGTGGATCCGACGCAGCCGTGAGTGTTTTGGGGGTTCCGTGAGAAATCATGTACACCAAGAAGAATTCTATTAATTATGTCCATTTAATTAAAGTAATTCTTCTGCCATTAACAAAAGTTTATGTGGTTTCATATATTTTGTATATTCAAATGTAGGAATAGCAGCAACTAGTGGGTATTGTGTGCTTTCATTTTTCATTTTTTGTTTATTCAACAGTTTTTGTACTTCTTTGTTGAGCTTTCTTTAAAATTGAAACTGCTATACAATCTGTTTTCTGGAGATTGATATTTTGTGTTTATTGGGGAAAAAATGAATGCTGGTACTAATATTTTATTAACAAATTTGGTTTTTGAGGCTATGTTGAATGATTCGGTTAAATCTTTGCGATGTTTTACGAAGTCATTGATTCATTTGTTGAGAAGAGCATGTCGGGATTTGGAGATCGTCGTCGATTCTATTTATTTGAACGTTGATTATGAAAAAAAAAGTACATTTCCAATACGTATTTTTGTCGTATGCTTGCTTGAGAATGTTTATGAATTTTTATATGAACGATTTTGGATTAGATGATAGTTAAATATGTGCAATGGAAATTGTTCGATGCATAGTGAAAATAGTACAATTCATAATGGTTATTTGAGAGAACTCAGCCAATGTTACCTACTTGATGGCACTTATTGTAAAAGTAGTTGCTTGACAAAATTACCCTTTTCATATTAAGTAAATGCAATCCACGTGTCAAATTTAAAATGATATGGATTATTTGCACAATAAATACAAACAATGGAGATATTTTGTGCTAATTACCCAATTCGATCTGATCACATCATTATGACTATTAAAAGGTTTTAAAGTACAAAAGATTTATGATAAGAAAATTTAAAATAATTTGAGAGTACAGTGTAACAATAAACAACTCATTGAATTTTCTCCTCCATTAAACTTTAAGCTAAGCATAGAATTAAGAAGAAATTATGACACGAACAAATCAAAAAATGAAGACGATTTATAATTTTTGACGAAATGACTACTCAAACTAATCCTTTTATTTTCTTCTCCAAAAAATTATTCATCATTCCCCCACTTCGTTCTATATCCTTCTCAAAATACAATTTTCTGGAATGTGGGTAGTTGTTATAATAGACTAGATAGAAAGGAAGGGATGGCGTGTATTTTTCGTTGGGGATTTCCTTGAAAAAATCATCGCATATTCCTTTGATTTCTTGTAAAAGATATTCAGTTTGTTAGAATAGAAGTTAAGGAGGGTATTTATACTCGTCGTGTCCTTTATATGGATATTAGAGGTCATGGAGTCATTTCCTTGACCTGATGAGAATTTCACTTCACGAGAAATTGAACAAAAAGCCGTCAAACTGACCTATTTCTTGCGCAAACAACCATTGTGGCTTATACAAAACCACGCAACTCAATTCAACAAGTGTAACATATTGAACTAATAGATTCAATTCATCTCATATATCAAACGATTTCGAAAGAAATAATTTTTTTTTTAAGTTCAATATTTGTTGGAATTGATACTTTGGATGCAGGAAAAAACAATTAAAGATTTGACTGATAGAACAAATACAATTAGAAATCAAATAGAAAGAATTACAAAAGAGGAAAAAAAAATCCAAAAATAAATATTAGTCTTAACAAAACAAGTTATAATACTAAAAGATTAGAAAAATGACAAATATAAAAAAAAATTGCATAAAATATAAAATTATTGTGGCAATTTAACTAAGAGAAATGGTGGTCGTTGCCTAAAGTAATTTACATATATAATATTTCATGAATTTAAGGGAAAAGAGCAGCTGAGGTCCCAAACTTTGGTATGTATTACATCTAGGTTCCCAATCTTCAAAAACGAGCATTCACATCCTCAATCTTTCATTTCAGTAGTACTTAGGTCCCCCATGATAAAATTTTACCCTTCTCTATAGTTATTAACAAGCTGAAATTTTGTTGAAAAGACGTATTATCCTTTCTTTAAGTAAATGAAAAATGAAAAAAATGAAATCTTCATCTTTTCCACTGTACCAAACCCCACCTTATATCCAAAACAACAACTATCAGCCAATCACTTTCCCTGACTTTAATGTAGCCCCAGGAGAGTAATCAATATTTTTGACGCAAGATAGCTGGAATCTCCAGCTCCATTAGGTAGGTGAAGAAGTTAATTGGATATTAATATTGAATANATGTGGAAATTATTTTTTTTTTTTTTTGTGCGCCAACAATTGAGAGCTCCTATTTAATATTAATTAATGTGATATTTATTTTAATAAAGAATTTGTCTATAAAGTCTTGGCAAGTTGTAAGCTATTCAATAGAACTCACACCTCTCTTTCTTTTCTTGAATATGGAGTTCTTCATTGCAATCTACACTGTTTTTCTCTTTTATGTTTTCGTTCAACTTTGCAAAAGATTCTTGGGGCAGAAAAATGATTGCTGCTACATGCTAAATTATGAATGCTACAAGGCCCCTGAGGACAGAAAGTTAGATACTGAATCCTCTACTAGAATCGTTTTGCGAAACAAGAATCTTGGATGGGAGGAATACAAGTTTCTTTTAAAAACCATGGTCAGTTCAGGCATTGGTGAAGAAACTTATTGTCCCAAAAATGTCATTATGGCTAAAGAGGAGAACCCCGCTTTGATTGATTCCATTGAGGAAATGGATGATGTCTTTTTCGATACACTTGACAATCTCTTTTCTAAATCAGGGATTTCTCCACAAGAAATTGACATACTTGTGGTGAATGTCTCTTTACTTTCTTCAGTTCCTTCTTTAACAGCTCGAATCATAAACCGGTACAAAATGAAGTCTGATATTAAGGCTTTTAATCTGTCCGGAATGGGGTGCAGCGCGAGCCTTATCGCGATTGATCTTGTTCGTCAAGAGTTTAAGATTCACAAGAAAGCATTTGCCATTGTTGTTAGTACTGAATCCTTTGGTGCGAACTGGTATTGTGGCAAAGACAAGTCGATGATGCTTTCCAATTGCCTATTTCGATCCGGTGGTTGTTCAATGCTTTTCACAAACAACCCCGATTTAAAAAATCGAGCCCTCTTCAAGTTAACGTCTATGGTACGCACTCATTTTGGCTCGAATGATGAGGCATATGAATGTTGCATCCAAGTCGAAGATAGTCAAGGCTACCCGGGTTTTCGACTCACCAAGAAACTCACAAAGGCAGCTGCTCAAGCTTTTATCATAAACCTAAGAGTTTTATTACCAAAAATTCTACCTCTGTGGGAATTAATCCGGTATGCCTTGGTATATCACCGATGGAGTAAAGAAAAGAGCCCAATGCTTGAAGGAGTTGGTGCAGGTTTGAATCTAAAGTCACGCGTAGATCACTTCTGTATACACCCTGGTGGTAGGGCAGTCATTGATGGAGTTGGCAAGAGTCTAGGGCTTTCCGAACACGATCTTGAACCGGCTCGAATGACACTTCACCGCTTCGGCAACACGTCGGCTGGTGGCCTCTGGTATGTTTTAGGCTACATGGAGGCCAAGAAGAGACTCAAGAAGGGTGATAGAGTTTTCATGATAAGTTTTGGTGCTGGTTTTAAGTGCAACAATTGTGTGTGGCAGGTTATGAGGGACTTGGAGGATGCTAATGTATGGAAAGACTGTATAGACAAATACCCTCCAGAAACCCTAGCCAATCCTTTCACTGAGAAGTATGGGTGGATCAATGATGAACGCTTGAGCTTTCTTAGAATTGAAGATATTCTCCATTTTTCATCGGGATCCTCTGGAGTTAAAGATGTGTTGTCCGTTCATTAAATTTTTGACACATCGATATATCAGCTATTGTCAGTAAATTGGGAGATGCCGACAGAACACCTTTGAAATATGTCATGACATCATCACATTTGCTTTCGATTGGGAGATTCTTACTTGTGTTGGATACATAAATGTATAAAATTGTGTGTGTCGCTTTGTTTTAAATGCACGTGAAGTATTATTTAAGAATAATATATTGTTGGGTTTGAGAAGTATTATTTAAGAATAATATATTGTTGGGTTTGAGTTAATCACTCGAGGATCTTCCCAAACAGCTGAATATGAACTTTATTTTCTTGCGTGACTACTTCAGATAAACAAAAATCCAGAAATTAAACCCTTTCCTGTACCAAATTGTCCACTGGGAATCCCATTACTGATGAAAAGCTTCTCCACTCCACATGCTGTAAAATATAAATAAATAAGGGAGGCATGAAGTTGTTGTTATTCAATAATATAAATATTTATGCAAAAGCACAACTGTTTTATTAAGTTTTTTCGTCCCTTTCTTATTTTCAAATTAACATAAGTTGTCGTGATGATTTGTCGTTCAAATATTTCGTTAAGATGAAGTAAAAGGACTCTTTTATCCCTCATACTTTTAAATAAACCAAAAAAAAAAACCCACAAAATCAAAAAGACTAAATATTTTGGACGAAAATTGTCTTTGAGGACAAGATTTGCAAGCTAATTAAAGGTAAAAGATAAGAATATGATTAAGCCCCTATTTGATTGAGATTAAAATTTGATTTTCAATAGATTTTGATAAAAATTAATGAAATATGTGATTAAAATTAATTGTTGATTTTGATTTAATAAAAATTTTAATTTTAATTTTACCAAACAGGGGCTAAAAGTTAAAGATATGGATGTGACTTTACATTGAAGAATAAATAAATAAATACGATTCAATGTTTGCAAATGATTACTCTTTAATAAAAACACGCCCTTCCCACAAATTCCAACCTTGAGTTTAAAACATAATTTTTATTTTTCTTTACATGCGCCTTTTTGTGAGCAAAAGTTATCGAAAAATCAATTTCTAAAACTGTGTAACACAATTTGTATCAAATTATCAAGTATCAACTTCACATGTTGCGTAAAAGGACGAGATAGTCTTATTCGTTGAAGTGAATCAATGGATCACATTAGACAGGGTCACCGTACAGGGGTGGACGTGGGGGTGGCCTGTGACCCCCCAACTTTGCTTCTTTTTTTTCCATCATTAAAATTTTTATGTTTTTGTGTCAATTTTCAAAGTCATTATATCATTAATGGCGTACGAAACGATCAATCGTAACAAATGTTACGACTTATCAAAATTAGTATTTCGAGAATTTCGATAACATATTAACTTTAAAAATTCTTCAACGATCATACGCTAATCATATCTACAAATTGTTTATGTCATCTCAAAACTTATTTCAAGAATTACATTATGGGCATATAGAATAGTCCAAACAGATATTGAAAATAGTTAAAAATAGATTAAACGTGAGTATTAAAAAACGCGTCTAACTCGCATTTTTTTAAAAAAAAATCAATTATTTCATTAACATTTATTATTTTTGTAATACAAATTTCTCAATATAATTTTCATCATTTTATTAGGAAATTTTATATGGAATATGATATAAAAAATTTTCGGAATTTTATATCTGAAAATGCCATATCCCATGTAAATTTTCGGATGCAAAATTACATGAGGTATANAAATTTTACATCCAAAAAAGTTATATCCCATGTAAATTTTCGGATGCAAAATTACACGTGGATGATTTTTTTGAACGTATATCTTCGTTAGTAAAATTTCTCTCAATTTCTTTGCAAATTCGATTGTGCCCCCCTCCCTCCCTCCCAACTTTAAACTTCTGCGTCCGCCCCTACCTGCATATTTGTATCATGAAGTTATATTCATGTTTGGCCCTCGTTTTTCCAAATTTAAGTCAAAATCTTCTACAAATGTAATTTTATGAACCGGGCTCTTCAATGTCATGCACTTTAGATCTTACATCATACTACTAAACCTCAACATTGACAGACGGTTATTGTGAAATTGTATGCCTTCAAAATAAACTCAATTCTTAGAAGAAAAGTAAAAAATTAAAAAATTAAAAAATCTCAAATCATTCATTAACCTTAACCCTATTGTCATTGTCCAAAAATAGTAAAATGATTGTAACAAATATATAACAAGAGGTAGTTGGAAGAAATCGACCTCGTTAGTGGTGGTTAGGCAACGTGAAGTTTTAATTGTTATGTCGATAGTGGTTGTTAGTTAACATGAAGCTTTAATTGTAACTACATAGAATAGGGTATTAATCAAGCTAACGAAGTGATCAATTATATAATATTATTTAATTTTAGTCAACATGAAATTTTATTTGTTATGTCATTAGTGGTTGTTAGTTAACATGAAGTTATAATTGTAACTAAGAATAGGGTATTAATCAAGCTATCAAAGTGATCAATTATATAGTATTATTTAATTTTTTGGGACTAAATAGATCACAAAAATACTTTAATTATCAATTTGAAATATCACTTGAACTTCAATGATCATTTATGAAATTAATTTGGGTATTATGTGTATATGACTCATCAAATAAATCAATTAACAGAACACATAACGTCACATGTTAGAATTTGACCTGCTAGCACGTGGAAATATGACTAATAATCATCTATGATAAAAGGGGAAGGTGGAAAAACTCCAATTTTGTTTGAAACTGCCGCGTTAAGGATTCGAATCCTGAAATATGAATTTGGTCATTGAGTAAGTGTAAGTGTATATGCAGTCTTCCACCTTTTACCTTTGGAGGTATAACTTGATATTTATCTCCTTTACCAAGATTAGAGCGGGCAGGTGGGGGCCGTGAAGGATGCGATTCATTGTTAATAATCTGCGTGGCTGATAAACCCAAAACTGCACGCTAAGAACCAATCTACTGCGGCAGGTCGTCCAGGCTCTTCACCACGTTGCCAACTAGATGAGTCCACCTGGCACGAGGAGTAAAATCGTGAACGTTTCGCTTTCCTATTGGTAAAAGCAAGAACCGGAAACTACTGCACGTCTCTTTTATAGTCGTGTCCTTTTCAATAACTGCTTCTGTAAGAAAGATGATTTACCGTGGGTATATATATATAATTTTATTTTTTTTTACACACTTCTCGTGGAATTATCTGATTCGGTTCGGTGATTATTCGATTTCAGGTACGATGTAATTAGATGCTATATTTCAATTTCTTTGCAAGTTCGATTGTATCCCCCGCCCCCCCAAAACTTTAAACTTCTGCGTCCGCCCCTACCTGCATATTTGTATTATGAAGTTATATTCATGTTTGGCCCTCGTTTTTCCAATTTTAAGTCAAAATCTTCTACAAATCTAATTTTACGAACCGGGCTCTTCAATGTCATGCACTTTAGATCTTACATCATACTACTAAACTTCAACATTGACAGACGGTTATTGTGAAATTGTATGTCTTCAAAATAAACTCAATTCTTAGAAGAAAAGTAAAAAAAATTAAAAAATCTCAAATCATTCATTAACCTTAATCCTATTGTCATTGTCCAAAAATAGTAAAATGATTGTAACAAATATATAACAAGAGGTAGTTGGAAGAAATCGACGTCGTTAGTGGTGGTTAGGCAACGTGAAGTTTTAATTGTTATGTCGATAGTGGTTGTTAGTTAACATGAAGTTCAATTGTAACTACATAGAGTAGGGTATTAATCAAGCTAACGAAGTGATCAATTATATAATATTATTTAATTTTAGTCAACATGATATTTTATTTGTTATGTCGTTAGTGGTTGTTAGTTAACATGAAGTCTTAATTGTAACTAAGAATAGGGTATTAATCAAGCTAACAAAGTGATCAATTATATAGTATTATTTAATTTTTAGGGACTAAATAGATCACAAAAATACTTTAATTATCAATTTGAAATATCACTTGAACTTCAATGGTCATTTATGAAATTAATTTGGGTATTCTGTGTCTATGACTCATCAAATAAATCAATTAACAGAGCACATAACGTCACATGTTAGAATTTGACCTGCTAGCCCGTGGAAATATGACTAATAATCATCTATGGTAAAAGGGGAAGGTGGAAAAACTCCAATTTTGTTTGAGACTGACGCGTTAAGGGTTCGAATCCTGAAATATGTATTTGGTCATTGAGTAAGTGCAAGTGTATATACAGTCTTCCACCTTTTACCTTTGGAGGTATAACTTGATATTTATCTCCTTTACCAAGACTAGTGCAGGACAGGTGGGGGCCGCGAAGCATGCGGTTCATTGTTAATAATCTGCGTGGCTGATAAACCCAGAACTGCACGGTAAGAACCAATCTACTGCGGCAGGTCGCACCGGCTCTTCACCACGTTGCCAACTAGATGAGTCCACCTGGCACGAGGAGTAAAATCGTGAACGTTTCGCTTTCCTATTGGTAAAAGCAAGAACCGGAACTGCACGTCTCTTTTATAGTCGTGTCCTTTTCAATAACTGCTTCCGTAAGAAAGATGATTTACCGTGGGTATATATATATAATTTTTTTTTTTTACACACTTCTCGCGGAATTATCTGATTCGGTTCGGTGATTATTCGATTTCAGGTACGATGTAATTAGATGCTATATTAGAATGTTTTTGTTTTTGACTTTGATTGATTGAACTTGGATTCAGATCTGATTTTGGGTCTGCTGCACCTTTCATTAAACCGACGCATTATTGATCACAGACGAAGGAACTCTTTGCGTAATTTTGAAGATTCATTGCTCTCTTGGTAATGTTTGGTGTGACATTGGTCATATTGCGTGCATGCTTGTCGTGTTCGTTCGTTGAGTATTTCGTTTTTTAAAATTAATTTAAACAACAAAAATTGTATTTCGAATTGTATATAAAGGGTCAAGCCTTTCCAATTGTTTTCATCAGAATAGACGAAGTGTCTCCCTGATTATATATAGCCATATAGGTGATCAGAGCTTCATT